TATACACATACATATATTTAATATACATCCATAACCCTGGAAAAGACATTTATATTTATCATACAAATATCTTCCCTTGGCGGGATTCGAACCCGCGACCCCCTTGTGTAGTGACCATGTCACTTACCACTACACCAGACGGCCGTTCAGAAGGAGTGCAGAATGTTAATATTTTTTTAAATTATGCATAATAAATACATTAAATTAATAATAATAAAAACATTACACACACTACCATGTATTTGACACACACACGCATGCATAATATTTTTTTATTGTCAAACTCCTTATTGCTTATAGTAGGTATGTGGTTAAATTGAGAATAGATTTAATATTGTTTGATTTTATTAATATTTGTATAAAGTGGTGTCTTGGCGAAATCTGTGATTATAGAAGTATTAAAGTCTTTGACAATACAATCATAATAGTATACAAAATAATTTCAATTAATTATAGTCGAATTTCGACTACCTCCCAGAGGACCACTAATTATTCTTAATTTTATTTCTAGTATGAGATTATTTTTTTCTATTGCATTCAATAACGCAAAAGAAACTGGACTTAAATAGACTTGTACATACTAAGGGTTTTTCATGTATTGAGTTACCTATTGATTGTACATTCAGTTCATAGTATCACTACTGTATGCATTGTAGTAACAATGGACGGACAATGATATATGCCGAAATCGATGTGATATTCCCACGGTTCTCTACTCTCATGTGGCTAGCTGCTTTGATATTGATTTATTATCAAAATAAATTACGAATTCCTGTCTCCCATGTCTTGGAGCATAAATACCATGTCGTTTTGTTGTTCGTTCCGAAACACCGATACGTAACCTGAAAAACACGTACGGTTAGTTATATACAAGTCCAATTAAAATCATATATCATGCGTTTAATTATTAAGTCGATAAACGTGAATTTAGTTACTATAGGTAAGAAGAGATCAGTCACACGCAACAAACAGTTTTTGAACGCCCGCGTTCGTAGGTCGTTATTTATCATTATTATATTTATTATATATTATATATATTGACATAGTCAAGTTGAAATTAGAAGCTATGTGAGATACCGAAGCAAATGTGATTTTGTTAGTTCATTATCGTGCCATATTTCTGTTTGTTATTCAAGCACAGTTGATTATTATAAACAAACACACGAAAAATTAAATAATTTAGGCAGTGAATATATAGATTTCTTTATTTATAGCAACACTGACGTGGATATTATATAGGTCCTGCGACTGTGCATGGATAGTGTGCAAACATTTTAAAGCTGATTTTGACATTAAGTCTTCTTTGTCCCCACCTTATCCCACTAGGTGGGCTACACAGCGAGTTTTTCTATTCCATTCTCTTCTATCAGCCCCTATTTCAACACTCAGTCCTCTCTCTCTCTCATATTGTCATTCACACACTCCATCCATGTCTTCTTCGGTCGACCTCTTCCCCCTCTACCTTGCACTACCATTTCCATACATCTCCTAGTCACATGCATCTCCTCTCTACGCTTCACATGTCCATACCACGCTAACCGTCCGCTTTTTAATTTGACAATCACCGGGGCTGCTTTCACAAATCCTCTGATATACCTACTCACGATCATGATGATTTTGGCATTGAGTATACGATAAAAGTTTTTTTTATATGGCGTATTTGGCATAAACAAATTTAAATCAGTTCGACGAATGAAAAAAAAATTTTTTTTGCAGTTTTCAATTTATTAACTTTTAATAATCTGCGTAATGAATAGCTTTTGTTTAGCTAGGATGACTGATAAATAAATTTTCGATAAAAGCTCTAACATTCTGCATTAACTAAGGTACTTAATTACTTAATATGGCAACCATACAATCAGTATTGTTTTTCAAAGAAAATCAATTGTAATCTGTTTATCTGGTTTAAGCGACCTTTTTACAACTGTATAGGAGAACCATTTAAAGTTTAAAATTTGGAGAAAATATCATAACTTCTTCAGCTATTCGAATGGAGTAAACTTAGTTAAACGTTCAATAAAAACACCTTATTGTCGATGCTGATTCCAAATAAAACGCACCTTTATCAACAAAGATAAATGTCGCCAAAAAGGCTTATTACACTTGGCTGAATTTAGTCGACTGAATTCAGTGAAGTGTAATAGCATTAAGTAAGTTAGTCTACTGAATTCAGTAGCACAGATGGTTTCTGACTGACTAAATCATTTAGAATTCTAATTAGAGGAAGGTGTAATCGCATTTAGTTACGAATCCATTCGTACATAATTTCTGAAGTCTGCTGTTTCTAAATCACTCATAAAGTTCATATTTGCTAACATTCCGCGCAGCTATAAATATTTCTTCACCGATATTCTTGTTTTTATTTTATTTTTTATTTTGGAAATTGAAACCTAAAACAATAACAACAAAAAAACTTTTTTGTTGTCTAGAGAATACTGGGGCCATCCTCTTCCGCACACGACACATACTACTTCGTTGCGTTTAAGCTGACAATTGATTCAGTAACTGAATTTAGAACATTGTAATCAGGAGCTTATAAATTTGCTTCTGAATTCAGTCGACTAAATTCAGCCAAGTGTAATAAGCCTTTAAACCATATAGCCTTTCATCACTCGTTAAACATCTATAAGTAAAAATCGGTAACAAATACACATAATAATTATTGAAAGAATATTACTGATTGTTGCTATTAATTTATTGAGCGAATATTACTGAGTCTTCGTGTTAGCAAAAATTCATTAGAATCTTTTTTAATCAAGCTCGATAGGTAAATAAAATACTAGTGAATTTGTACAATGTGAATTTTGCTTTTAAGTGACCTAAACTGATCCTAATATATCACTAGTTAATTTTGTTTGAAAATTATTAAAAGAAATAAAGAGTAGATATGGTTGGACGTAGCTGGAGACAAGGAACTAAGCCAAATAATAAGACGGAATATATTTATGACTGTGATAATAATCTTTATTATATAACGATTTCTAGCAACTGTGGACACCTTTTCTGATAAAATTACGATATTTGGTGCCCTCTTGGATAACCACGTCCAACAAACATAATCATTGAATGTAGTCTTCATTAAAATCTGATACGATTGCGTGGTAAAATCGTAAGATATTGCGAACAGAATAATAGTAATATAATTACGGAACATTTATCGGCAATTGTTGTCATGCAGGATTCAATAGTGTTGTCAAACGCATGCAGAGGCTCGCATGCGTCTAAATAGAACATAAATCCAAAAAAAGAAAATAAATTTGTACTTGATCCTCTATCTGCAGAAAACAATTCAAACGTAACAATGTTGTAGGGAAACTTGTTGGTGACACAGCTGAAATAAGTTAGAACTTAAGGATTATAAACGATCTCTGAGCCGTCGAGAAGATTCTATCCATCTTGAGTCGATCCCGAGATTCAAATGAACCCATCAAACGCTGCCACACAATGTCTCTTGGTAAATATCAAACGAAATCACCTATTTCGGGAAGACAAACAAACCGACGGTTTTATAAAATGGTCAATTAAATAAAACAACCGTACGTGTTCAATGTTTAATACAATTATAATACTGTAAAAAGGAACTTAAATACACAACACCAGATTGTTAACTAGTCGACTAAATAAATGCTTACAAATCATTAATACTAAAGATTAGATACATTAGTCACGAAAATAAACCTATAATAAGCAGGGAATGTTACATTTACGGAAAACAATCTTCGATTAGCCACATTTAAAACGTGTTGGTTTTGTTTTGTTACGTAATAAATAACTTGAATGTCCAGAGGATCGACATAAGACATTGATCAGAGATATAAAACGAATACTCCAGTTGTTATAAATAGCGGAGTCCGAGATGAAAGGGTGAATGCAGCAACGGTAAACAAAACAATGAGCCTTTAGAAGGCAACGAAAACAGCCAACAATAAAACGATCACAAAAGTATGGGACGTACAAAACGAAAAATAAATAAATATAAAAACGAGATATATGTAAATAAGAGAGTAATGAGAAATAGAGGTTTTCCTTGATTCCCAAATAAATGGAGGCCGTCCAGAGTTCATTCTGCTATTTGCTAACGATGGTAGAAAAATAGACTAATGTATCGGATTTGACTTATGCTAGCGAAAAGTCACGTCATCTTTCTTCCGTCAATCCCATAATTTTTAAACATTAGCTTGAAGTAGATTGCGCTTTGGCCAGACCAACTGATTTTACTAAGGTGAATATTGCAAGTCAATTAACTCTACTGATTACATAAGACACACTTATGAATTATTATACACGTAAGTATGTTTTTCGATACAAACACTATTTAAAAATCTAGTACAACGAATTTCAAAGGCACAGCCGTTTCTAATGTACTAAAATATTACGTCATTATTGAAGTGAAACTTCTTTAGGTGCGCTGAGAGTAAAATTTTACTCGCGACATATTCGTTACGGCTAGAGAGAGAAGATACAATTTGGGATGAGCGAGAAAAAGTCAGAGCGCCCCATAAACCACTCGACCTTGGAGAGGGAGAAAGCGAGCTAGGTCGTTTCTCTTATACAAATTCTGTTTACGGGCGTTGGCCACTAGATGGCTCGTTATTAGTGTAACATTGATCCTGCAGATGATAGGGACATATTAACTATTATACACTTTATTTTTAATAAAGGATTTAAAAAATATATTTATTATTCTATATATAATTTAAAAATATATATAAATGGCGAAGAGGTCGTTTTTCTTATACACGTAATTCCCTATTACAAATTAATTATATTTAAGGATGACAAATGAAAAAATAAAACACAAATACACACCACAAAAGAAGTTTCACTTCTTTCACGTGCACCACGTTGCACACGTACAAAATTTTTTTTTTTACTAATCGGTAATTTTTTTTCATTCTATAATAAACTATATAGTAAATAATTAAGTATCAGTATTCAATGCCGCAAGGAGAAGCAATGTTTTTTTTTATTTATTTTTTATTCGTTCATGTCTTTTTTACCTTGAGAAAGTCCGACACGTTGAATTTTGTCTTTGAACACGTACTGCACGGTCAAGTGCAGCGCGCAACAGACAAGCGAACCTATTCCGTATATACGGAACGTGATCCAGCCCTGATAGTGATGGTACAATTGTCCGCCTATGAAACTACCAAGAGAAGCGCCAACGCCCTCGAAAACGGCACCGACGAGGCCCTGAAAACGAATATTGTATGAAGCATTCTCGTTCGCGTCTTATTGTATATTTCCTACCTGTGCTGATAGCCTAGTGTAAGATAGTATTAAGTGATTGATACTATAACGCATTGCCTTATGAATACACAAAAATTTCCTACCTGTGCTGATAGCCTAGTGTAAGATAGTATTAAGTGATTGATACTATAACATTGTCTTATGAATACACAAAAATTTCCTACCTGTGCTGATAGCCTAGTGTAAGATAGTATTAAGTGATTGATACTATAACATTGTCTTATGAATACACAAAAATTTCCTACCTGTGCTGATAGCCTAGTGTAAGATAGTATTAAGTGATTGATACTATAACATTGTCTTATGAATACACAAAAATTTCCTACCTGTGCTGATAGCCTAGTGTAAGATAGTATTAAGTGATTGATACTATAACGCATTGTCTTATGAATACACAAAAATTTCCTACCTGTGCTGATAGCCTAGTGTAAGATAGTATTAAGTGATTGATACTATAACGCATTGTCTTCTGAATACACAAAAAATTCCTACCTGTGCTGATAGCCTAGTGTAAGATAGTATTAAGTGATTGATACTATAACATTTTCTTATGAATTACACAAAAATGCAGTTAGCACGTACACACTCGTATATACACTACTGAAAATTTACGAAAATAGTATGTTAATTTTGAATTGAGACTCGTTCTGGGGGACTAAATCTATTAATATGTGATATTTTTTTTAGATATTAGACAAGTTATATGAGTTTGTGGTAATCAACCTAATCTCTATCTAATCTAATCTAACCTAATCCTAATCTTAATCTAACAGTTCTACGTCAAATTATATTTGTTTATTTTACTGAGCATCCTAGCAAAAAGATTTGCAGATATAAGATGAGAATGGTACCACTGGGGACACAACTCAGCTGACTCAACTTTTCCTGATGAAAATCTGACAACAGATTAGATTATTGTTTTTCAAGAAACAAATTGCTAAGTTGCAGGACAGAAAAAAAAACAAAAAAAAATTACTTAGGAACTACTTAATCACATCTAAAATTTAAAAAGATTCGTTGTTCGATACAAAAAATGGTATGACATGTCCTTCTTCAAACGAGGCTTGAGGAGAGTATTAAGCGGTAGGCAGCGGCTTGGCTCTGCTCTTGGCATTGCTGAAGTCCATGGGCGACGGTAACCACTCACCATCAGATGGGCCTTATGCTGGTTTGCCAACAAGGGCAATAAAAAAAAAGCTGTCTAATAAATTATTATCGCAGAATAAATAATTTTTTGCTCGAGACCTACGTTTAGGCTACACAATATGTTCCCCGGAGAAGACATACATAACTAATGAATAATACTATATGAAGATACCTGTATGGTAGTTTCTGTGCCCGGTGGTGATACTATACTAGCATATGACGTCATGGTCGGGTAGAACATCCCAAAAGTGATACCCTGAAGCATCTCTATTGGTAGGATCCACCAGGCGTTCGTTAGAAACGAGTATAGTATGAATCTAACACCGAAGGCGAACAAGACCAGACTCATCATCTTCACGTGTCCGACTTTCTTCAAGATATAACCTGTAACGGTCACGTTCGATCACTGAGACATTAAGACTCATAAACTCTCATAAAACTCATATTCTTTTTTTTTGTCCGCTCTGAGTTGTCCTATTGCGCTGAACTAATTTTAAATGAAATATATGTTTCTTCTAATTGTCTCACAACTACAGGAAAAATCTGTCGCGGATCGCATTTCCCAATTAAATATAAATTAATCTTAAGCAATCCATCAAATGTAATCAAATCGTAGTTATATAATTTTTTAATATTTATTGTTAACTAGCGACCCACCCTCGCTTCGCTTCGGAAACTGTAATTTATTATTGATTTCTTCACTATTTAATGGATGTTATTATACATATAAACATTCCTCTTCAATCACTCTTTTTTTTTTTTAAAACCGCGCCAAAATCCGTTTTGTAGTTTTAAAGATTTAAGCATACATAAGGATATAGGGACAGAGAAAGCGGCTTTGTTTTATACTATGTAGTGATGCACTATCGATTGCACCTATAATAATTGAGGTGACATCTGCCATGAACTTTTGTCAGTTTGTCAATGTTTTGTATCAATGATCACTTTGTTGGTGCAACTTAATAAATAAATAAACTCTCATAAAACTCATAAACTCAAAGTCGATCATAAACGAATTCTTTTTTAGATATTTCACTAACCTGACACGAACAAGAAAGGTATCTCGCCGAAGAACGTTTGGATCGCGCTTACCAAGCCCTGCAGTGTTTTTATGTACATAACACTGTCGCAAGATAAACGCGAAACGTCTTCGAGGAGCCAAAACAGAAAGTTCCACAACAATCCCGTGCACAATCCCACCGCCACCGTCCACATCATGAATACGAAAGTGGGTAGCGAGGTCAGAAGGGTTCCGACGTCACCCAAGATGTTCAACGACATCTTTGTCGAGTCGGTCTGCATAAGACGACAACATAAAACAAAAAAAAAAAATTTAAAAAAAAAAAAAAAAAAAAAAAAAACATTCGGTGTTAAATATTGACAATTAAGACGATTTCATATTTAAAAGGGCTGTGTACAGATTGCAGAACAAACCTGAAAGAAAAAGAAAAATCTGAAGAAAAAAATCTTGATAGAATTTTTCATGTCGGGCGTTAATGCTTAGATCAGTAGACGAGCTCACGGCCCACCCGGTGTTAAGTGGTTACCGGAGTCCATAGACATCTACAACGTAAATGCCGCCACCTGTCTTGAGATATGAGTTCTAAGGTTTCAGTATATTTACGGCTGCCAAACCCTTCAAACCGAAACGCATTACTGCTTCACGGCAGAAACAGGCAGGACGGTGGTACCTACCCGTGTGGACTCACAAGAGGTCCTACCACCAGTAACCGTGATCTTGGCTTATTTAGATCGGATATTTACCTTCAAAAAACATGAAACGATGACGTCTCCCATCATAAATACAAACATCAGCACGAACGCCACCGTGTAATCCTTGTACGCGCCGTCGCTGAATGTGTCGATGAGAAAACCAGTTAGGAACGAGAATATACCCCAACCTACCGAGCCCCATAGCCTCTGTTTTCCGTATTGGGCGACTTCGGTACCTGCAAAAAAACAGAACCGATACAACAACCGACAATTAATATCAGCACACCATGCAATCTGTACATCTATATACGTGAAGCAAAAACTTTGTACCCCTTTTTACGAAAACCAGTGATACTCCCGGTAATCGAAATTCGACTTATAATTAATAGAAATTATAAGTTTGTACACTATTATGATTCTATTGTCAAAGACTATTAGCTATTTATACTTTTATAATCATAGATTTCGTCAAGACTACACTATAGACAAATAATATTAAAGACAAACAATATTAAACTATTCTTAATTAGACCACAGACTTTAACAATAAACAAGAGTATATATCCGTGTGGGTGTGTGTGTGTCAAATACATGTATGGTAGTGTGTGTCATGTAACCACTAGTTAGTATGGATACATCAATCAAGACAAACAAAATAAAATATTTGTTAACACCTGAAGTGCGTCCTCCTTTTTCTATAAACGAAATCCTAGATATCCAGATATCTCTGTCGTGCCGAAACCGTAACTTAAATTTGATTCAATGTAGAAAAGAGATAGATATATAGAAAGAGTATACATAATATATCTAAGTTGTCATATTAAAGAAAAACGACCGCTGTGAAACCGTTAATGATCGCTTCTTGATTTGAAAGTAATTCGTTTTTATTTATTACTAGCTGTACCCGTCCGCTTCGCTGGGCCTTTAAAATTAACATTAATATTTCTCACCCTCACAAAGATTCTCATCATTAACGCTTCCACAACTGGTGTAGGGAATCCAAAACTCATATAAATATTAGCCTATCCATTAAATACATGTATTTTCTACATGGATACCAAGTTTCAAGTCAATCCGATGCATGGTTCAGTAGTTATAACGGAATATCCGTAAAAACCACTGTAGATTTATATATTAGTATAGATACGTGACAATATTCTGTGTGTTCACTTACCAAGTAAATTGAAACAAATAGCATCAGCGAAAGTCACAACGACGGCCTGTCCCACCCAACTAATGATCATAAACATGAAAAACATCCAAAACTGACTTGTGAACTGTGAGCTCTCCTCCACTTCAGTACTCTCTTGAGATTCTTCGAATATCTCATTTACCTGCATCAAAAAAAAATTATAAAATACAAAATGTGTGCAATTCACACGTGGTAGAAGTGAAACCTTCCAAAATTAAAATTATCCTAAACGTCTTAAGTATATGTAAAATTTTGTCATTAGTAAATAATTGTAAGGTAGCGCCCTCTGTGAATTGATATTTTAATTTCACGTATAATCCTAAATTAAAATTCACTACAAGAGCTTTCATACACACGTTAGTATTAAAAAATCACACAGATGGCGCTGTATTAAATAGTATGTATATTTCTGTCTCATTCTTTGCTNAATTATCCTAAACGTCTTAAGTATATGTAAAATTTTGTCATTAGTAAATAATTGTAAGGTAGCGCCCTCTGTGAATTGATATTTTAATTTCACGTATAATCCTAAATTAAAATTCACTACAAGAGCTTTCATACACACGTTAGTATTAAAAAATCACACAGATGGCGCTGTATTAAATAGTATGTATATTTCTGTCTCATTCTTTGCTGGCTTCATCCTACACATTTTTGTATTTGTGTCTCTTACCTGTCGTTTTTTCCGTTGCATCCGGTTTGAAATCACAACGATTCTAAAGAAGTTTTCACTTCAAAAACTACAGTTTCCGCGATTTTAAATAGTCTCAAAGTATCGCAAAATTAAGTGATTTGTATCTAAATGATGAAGAAATAATGAAATTTCGAAGCTTTATAGTCCGGTATACGTAATTGGAGATTCTCAATTCGCAACTGATTCTAATAATACTGGCGTTCTTCCAATGCTCGAAGTTCGACGACAAGAAAATCGAAAATCAGTTGACGATTTGAGGAGAAAATGTTATTTAAGTGATTTACCTTTGCCTATTTGTATGTATGTAGACTGTGGATGACTTTTACACTATTAGATTTCTTTAATAGTAAACATGAATCGCGATTTTATCAAAAAATCTTATCTGAATTTATTGGTACTGCTACTGCTGTGATATGATCGCTATGATATGATGTAATAGCTATGCTGTGATGTGATAATATGATGTTACGGATCAGAAATGAAACAAATTATTTCTAACGCACTTAATACACACCATAGTGTTATCGCAGTTCATTTCGCAATTGGACTCGAACAACTGTGAAGTGTTTTGATAATCAGTTTTCATTTCACAATAAGGATAATGTATGGTACCTGTAATTTAAAATGACGAAACGGGTTTATTAGGGGTGTAAACATGTTCGATTCTGTTTATCATTTTCCATTTAACATCAAGTAAGGGTCAAAAGTAAGCCTTTTAGCGCAAACCTTAGTGAAATTATTTGTACAATGACGTAGATAGCATCAAAATAATTTTAATGAAAGATAAGTTTAGGGTGGTTGCTGCAGAAATATTGCTATTGCTCTATCGTGCCTTCACCTGGATGCTACGTAAAGATATGTTACAGACATCATTGTTGATCCCTTCGCAATACCCCATCCCCAAGACACGTCCTGATTTAAAAACTTCGTGACCTTAGTCAATATTATAAATTATTTGAATAACTTTTGCAGTTTTAAGCTTTGAGTACGTATTTTTGTGAGAGGAATAATATTTTTTTTTTCTATTTTTCAGTCTTTGATATATTATAGTCTTGCTTAAGCGATAAAACGTCCGTTGTACTCAGATCGAGCCATGATACTATGCCCTAAAATTCGCAGGTGGGTACTAATTTTTGTAAGGAAAAACGTGTTTGAGTTAAATTCGCGAACGACTCCAATGACAAAGAAATAATAACGCTTTGACGTAAAAATCACCCGTAAAAATATGCTCATTTACCGGTTTGCTAAGGTCGCTGGTATTTCCAAATTTTTGTCATATACCATACTGTTTAAGCATATATTTTTACTATCGACTGATGGTTTAAAAAAACAAACGCAGTAATTTCAGTGCACATCAGTTTCAGGCATTTAAGGGCTGTCAAATCAGATGTACTATGTCCTATTTTTATTTACTATGAATGTATTCATAAATAAATATATGAGCAAATCATTCTCTTTTCGTGTACTTGTAAGTAGCAGATTCTGTAAAAAAAACTAATAGTGAAGTGTAGCAACTATTTTCTCTGTTCCCGATAATAATAGTGTTTTTCAAGCCATCTATATCGTAGACCTACATACACACCCTAACGTCGTGCACCATGCGCACCGTACATTCTCCCTGAAGACCTCTAATTTCAATATATTAAAATTAAACCTGTTTATATCAAGTTGTTTAAATTAAATAAACTTACCATTGTCCATTATGATGTTCTTTAGTTTGATGTAAACACAATTCTCCACCGATATCATTGACGACAACTTCAACGTGGCCGTGAATGATAATTTAGATGGAAACGGTTCGTCATTACTCGTCTTTGGGTAGCACGTTTCGGTGACGTCAGCATGCCATTCCTCGCAAATTTCCATTAAACGCCAAGGAGTTTTTTTATCCAGAACACAATCTGCCTAAAATAATTTATTAACATACTTATATATATATTTTTTCATATATTGTCTTTTTGTTCTTTAATCATTTCGGGCAATATATTTTCAGTTGGAGTTTTGTGACGGATTTTAGACTTTACTTGAACTTTGGAGCACACATACATAGCTCACATTAGGACGGTAGAGTAAAAAAAAAAAGAGAACGAAAGAAGAGAGGAGGGAGAGAGAGGAGAGAGAGGAGAGAGAGAGAGAGAGAGAAATACAAAAGAGTTAATTTTCGTTTTAATAGCGTGGTATATCGAAAATTCTGATAGGCTTTATCAAAAATATTTCGCATTGTGTTGGCTCGACAACCACCTAATTCTGATTTAGCTGCAGTCTACCCATAAACAACAAAACAAAATCCAACAGAAATCTCATTCTATAATAAAAAGCCGATAAACACTAACCTGACAGTCACTTTCTATGTTTTGTTTAGTCAAATCCGCGAGGCTAGAGTTCGTACACAGACGATAGTTCAAATGTCGATCCACACAAGTCATGTTCGCTTTTTCCCTCCCGATCACCGATGAAAGATTTTCATTTGTGCAATTTAACGAACACGGCTCGTTTACATCGACGTAGTTCTGTCCTATCCGACATCGCGGCGTGAACTTCAAGCCTATTGACGAGATACACGATAGATAATTATTTAGTTTTACGGCCTAACGTTTTCATACATTTTTATTTTATTTTTTTATTGCTTAGATGGGTGGACGAGTTCACAGCCCACCTGGAGCCCATAGACATCTAGAACGTAAATGCGCCGCCCACCTTGAGATATAAGTTCTAAGGTCTCAAGTATTGTTACATAATAATTTACAAAAGATATTCAAATCACTTAAAACACGTCGGTTAAGTGTGTTTAATAGACGTTGCCTTTTACACAAATAATTAAAGTAAGCCATTAACAATAAAAAAAAAAAAATGTTTCGAGTTTGTTATATTATTATTCGTCGGTTTTTTGCACGTTCAGATTAATACGCGTTAGAGTTCGCTTTGCGACAAAACAAAATGTAAGAGAGTAACATTGAAATAGGTTATAAATTGCTGAAAAATATAAATTTAACAGCTGAGTACGTCTAGTTTTAAATTGAAATACTAATTCTAACCTTACCTCTTACCTTTATAAAACACCATTTGTTATTTTATAACTATCACATACTTCGTGATATTTAAATGCTAAAACGTTCCAAAATTAAACCTCCTCAATATTAATTCTACAAATTGACTGAAAAAACGTTAACTCAACATGTTATTAACGAGATACGTTTTCAAACGATAAAAGTTAATGACATCGTTGTCCACATTACGTTTGCGAACTCTCAAACTTAACGTCTACCATAAGACAATAGCTGTAACATGAAAGACTTATATCACAGCTATTGTCAAACCATACCGTCCAGAATGACACTATTGGCTGAAAAATATGCGCAATCATCCTTTAATGTGACATTTGTTACGTGGGACGTATATCGTATCCGATCAGTGTTCGAATAACAGTACTGAGGTAGATGCCAGTATTCGCACACTGTTTCCCACATCCTCGGGTTTCCCATGTTACACTCCATCTGAAAAGATATCAGTGACGTAATCTTTTAAGAATTAAGCTTTACGAGGCCAGAAGCCTCACGGTCCGACGGTGGTTTTAAATTAATAAAGAAAGAAATATATTTGTACAACCTATAGGATACCTTGAGTTACATAATTATGTTACACTATTTCTGTAGCTAGCTGTAAATTTTTTTTTATTGCTTAGATGGGTAGACTGGTGTTAAGTGGTTGGTTACTGGAGCTCATAGACATCTACGACGTAAATGCGCCACCCACCTTGTGATATAAGTTCTTAGGTCTCAAGTATAAGTATAGTTAAGTTACAACGGCTGCCTCACCCTTCAAACCGAAACGCATTACTGTTTCACGGCAGAAATAGGCAGGGTGGTGGTACCTACCCGCGCGGACTCACTAGAGGTCCTACCACCAGTAATTACGCAAATTATAATTTTGTTTGGTGATGGTTTGTTAAAACGTCCCTGACGTTTGTATGTACATATATCACTAAAGATATGTGTCCGTAACAATGTGTGATTTTTAACTTGCTTTTATTAGCTTGACCTATGTATAAGAACTGAATATTTCAAAGTTATTTTCGCTTCTTTCAGGATGTCCAATTGATTTGAAAACGTATCGGAAACCGATCAAGTAAAAAAATTTACTATTTTTTAGTGTAGAAAAGAGAACAGAAAAATATATTTAGTATTTTCTTTTCATTGTACCTATATTTTTTATTATTTATTGGTCAGGAATACATGATTAACTAGCAAATAGCCTGTGTACAAAGTGTACAGTAGCTGCTAATAGCCAATGAAGCCGTGAGCTCGTCTACCCATTTAAATCAATAAAATAGACTCAATCAGAAAGCGAGTGTCGCCGTCTTCATACTTTTTGATTAGGTGCACTTACAATGCATTCAATTGTTATACGATATTCGGTGATTCATAAGTTCTATATAATCGCGTCAACTGCCTAGACGTGTGTGTGCCTACTACATAACACTAAATATTGAAGTCATTGTGGTCTAAAGGATTAGACGCCCGGTTTACTCGTATTTAGGGCCTATTACTCCGCACTGGTAGGTACCCTCACCTTGCCTATTTCTGCCGCAAAACAATAATACCACACAACAGACTTCATGTCTTCATTATTGTAGTCATGTCTATAGACTCTAGTAAATACTGAACTCTAGCTTGGTCATGAGCTAGTTTACCCATATATGCAAAATTAATAAATAAAATGTTGTTCCTTAGACCAAATATCTATGCATTGTTTCTGGTCTGATCTAATTGTTTCTGCTTTCCTGCATTATTTTCAATTTGAAGAAAGAACGAAAAGAAAATATTCGTGTTCGGTAGTTCGGAATAAAGTTTTTTTTATTACTTAGATGGGTGGACGAGCTCACAGATTCCCTCAGACACAGTCCACTGAGTTTCTCGCCGGATCTTCTCAGTGGGTCGCGTTTCCGATCCGGTGGTAGATTCTGCGAAGCACGGCTCTTGCTAGGGTTCGTGTTAGCAACGTCATCAGGTTTGAGCCCCGTGAGCTCACCTACTGGTTAAGGCGACGCTGATATAGCCTCTCAAAGCTATCAGTTTAGGTAGGAAAAAAAGAGCTCACAGCCCACCTGGTATTAAGTGGTTACTGGAGCCCATAGACAACTACAACGTGAATGCGCCACCCACCTTGAGATATAAGTTCTAAGGTCTCAGTATAGTTACAAAGGCTGCCCCAACCTTCAAACCGAAACGCATTACTACTTCACGGCAGAAATAGGCAAGGTGATGGTACCTAATCGTGCGGACTCACAAGACGTCCTACCACCAGTAAGTTTCTTATTACCAATAATTTTAATCAAAATTTGTTAATATTTATAAATAAACACAAAATAATACTCACCTTGCAGGTTGATGTGACATTTAAGTCGCCCGTTGCTTGAATTTTACAGTCCAACGACGGTGAATCTTTGTAGCAGCTTGTTAAAACTGTACCAGCCGGACCACAATTGAGTTCTACATTTATTTTGGGCCGATTGTGTGGCACAAAGTATATTGCTGAGAAGCTTATTATAGTCACGAATTGAAACAATATAAATATTGATTTCTGCAGTTTAAATCTGAAATAATATTTGAATGTTATGATGCAACTTCTGCTTGCTACGAGATCGAGATGTGGAATAAGTCGTCCCCCGTTCTGCATACAACGTCCCACAATTTGTGCACAATTATCCTTAAGAAGATAATAATACCGTTGCCGAGAGATGGTCGAGATTGACGACGACCACTTACTCTTATTGAGACGAGTCGTAAGGGTCATTTTCGGATTCGATCTATCGTTGGCGAAAGCTTTTGTATTTCAATTACCGCTGAGAATGAAAGGTCAAATTCATAGAAGCGTGTGAGCATCCGCTCGGGGGATCGTTATACATGCAATATTCTTATTACTTACAATATGAATAACAAAATTGAGTGACCATTAAAACATTACAATGCTGTTAAATTTTGCATGGAAACACTACTTTTGGTTTAAGAATAAAGATTATTGGGTTATGAAGATTGCGATAAGATAGATCGAATGATAAAACAGAATCGTAAATAGCTTATGAAATTACAGTTATATGACAGCTGATTGTTCTTTTAAGATATAATTTAATACATTATATCGGGACATACCATAAATACTCATTTACAATAGAGATTATTACGAAGAATTCTCTGTGTAAAGCCTATGTCGACAAGACAATCATTTACGTGCACTTTAAGTTGCATCCTACCGGACTCTTTGCCTCCTACTCTCTTATCGACGAGTTCATAGTCCAAGACGGTTTGTTAACTTACTGTCGGAGATGGAGTGATACTCATCAAACTCTTCCTACCCATACTCGAAACAGGCGTGATTCGAATACGTTCATTTGCGGAGAATCACACGTTATTATTACCATTATATTTACCTTGAAATGCAAGTATAGTACTGTAGATATTATGTGCAGCTACTACGGTAATACCAATGATAAAATCTACTAGTCACAAAATTGGACAAAACGATGAAGCATTCCAGAGAAACAGAAAAAAAACAACAATGTTACATACCTATCCGCAATAACACCGAACAATGGTTTCGCAATCAATCCACATATTGGTAATACAGTATAGATTAAGCCTACTGTTGTAGAAGAAAATCCCAATTGCCGTGCGTATGTTGTCAAATATGGGACAAGCGGTGCTGTGCCTGTAAGATTTTATTTGTTTTATTTTACTAATTTATTTAATTAACTAAACTTGATTGTGCAGAATAATAACAATAGTCTTTAAAATGCGTTATTCCTTCTTTTTTCTTTTTTTTCTTTTTATACCTACTAACAATCACGCCACGTTAACTGGTCCCGTGATAAGTTCGTAAAGAACTTGTGTTACAGGTACCAGATAACGGATATAAATGTAAGATTTTTATTATACACATATATATATTTAATAGACATCCATAACCCTGGAAAATACATTTATATTTATCATACAAATATCTTCCCTTGGCGGGATTCGAACCCGCGACCCCCCTGTGTAGTGACCATGTCACTTACCACTACACCAGACGGCCGTTAAAAGTATATGCTGTGCGGGATTTCTTAAATAAAATTGTACAATTGATCGGTTTTTTCTTACCAATTATACAGAATTATTAAGTATATAAATAAATTAAATGTTTATTAGCGCATACTTTCGTTCGGGTTCGTAAAGTACCTATGTATTCGTAAAATTCAAATCTATTCGATTCAACAATATCGTCAATGTAAAAAAACATAGTTATTCACACACATGTGTAAATAATATAATTATAACCGTATTAAGATTATGTGCGACATTTTATATTATGTAACAGATCGGATATACTTAACAAAGGAAAAAAATATCATTTACGGTTTGAATTTCATATTGTTTGTCGCATAGAACGATAATAATAATGGAATAAAACCATTTGTTAATTATATTTTTCGTAATGAAGAATGTCTATCAGTGATAACCGTTAGCCTTCTTTACTATAACACCCTTGGTAAGTGCACGGCATAAATATACGTATGTACACCGACCGTAAGCATCACTGGTTCATTTATTTAAATGAGTCGTCTATTGTCAAAGGTGGCAATCTGTGCATTTGGACAAAAAAATGTTATTGATATGGCGATACAGATTGATTTGAATATAATCGTCTCCTTCAAAGAATACGGTTCAAAACCTGCATTAAATAAAGGTTAATACTTAACCTGTTATTTATCTAAGATGTCGTTCAGAAGAGTTTTGTGACTGCCAATGGAATACAAAGTCAATAATTNAAAATGTTATTGATATGGCGATACAGATTGATTTGAATATAATCGTCTCCTTCAAAGAATACGGTTCAAAACCTGCATTAAATAAAGGTTAATACTTAACCTGTTATTTATCTAAGATGTCGTTCAGAAGAGTTTTGTGACTGCCAATGGAATACAAAGTCAATAATTCGTTTTTCTGATTTACCAATAATTGTCCAAAAGTCACATTTGATAATAGTCGACGCAAATATGACATGACGATATGAGCTCATTTCAAATGATATTAATAAAAATGAATTATTCTTCAATAATATATTCCTCTTAATAATCGATCATAAGTTCTGCTAATTTTTTTTTTGTTTCTCAATAGCCTAATTATTTATTCTTATATTTGTAGGTAGGTTTGGAATCTCCATTTAAGTAAATATATGCTTGTGTTTGGAGAAATCGCTTTTAAGTAACGATATTAACATTTATAAATAACAGCGAACAGTATTCATGAAATTTGAATGTTCCGAATACGGCCACATTCGTGTGATCACAATACTTAGAAAATATTTTACGGCTCTGGCCAATATATTTCGCTTAAAAACGTACGATCGTAAGGTTCAAAATAGACATATAAATAATCTGACCTTAATGACGATCGGAGGACACACAGGACGAAGGTTGTCGAATAAAATATTCTTCGGCATGTGGCTTACTCTTTTTTATTCTATTGTGAATATAGCAGAGATATAAGATAAGAAATATTTAGGAACTCTTTAGAAGGTAAATATTCTTTATAGTTGAAATGGATGTACACATGCGCGCAAAACCTATTATAAATAGAGATTTGAAATTCATCTTTCAATAATTCATTAATGAATTGTACTTTTTTTCTTTCCTTACCTATGCTGATAGTCTTGAGAGGCTATTTCAGCTTCATCTTAGCGTGTAGGTGAGCTCTCGGGGCTCAAACCGGAAGTGTTGCTAATACTAGCCCTAGCAAGAGCAGTGCTTCGCAGAATCTACCACCGGATCGGAAACGCGACCGATTTAGAAGATCCGGCGAGAAATTCAGTGGGCTGTGTCTGTGGGTTAATTTACTCGTCGAGCCCTTTGTCGCTAGCGACGAGTTCGGCGAGGACGGTGACCGAGAAGTGTATCCCTTAATACCTTGGATATCAAAATGTAAGTTATCGCAGTATTCAAACTACAAGATTTTTATTTGATTTATTTATTTATTTATAACTTTTTATACTATAAAGTATAAAGGCGGACTTAATGCCATTTTTTTTTTTTTTTTTTNCGAAAATCGAAGCAAATGGAAGCTGATGGTACAAACAGCCACGAATGGCTTTCAGGGACACTGCCTTCAGCAATGAAGTATTCGACTAAGAAGAAAAGAAAGAAGAAGCCCTGGCGGCTTAGAATGAGACGTTTTTAATACTACATATTACGGCATGCACTCAAGTAAGTTGCGTTAAAGATGAAACACATGCGATAATTCACGTTCATCTCGTGACATTGCCCTGTTGCGTGTGAAAGTAATCGCAATACACGGTCGTTTGTATTCGATGTAGTCGCGGAGTGCGTAACGCACGCGACCCTGCTCTGTTTGTTTTGTAATAACATTATCTCGATCTCAGAATAAAGTACGCTAGAAAGCATTTGATAAGAAAAAAAAAACGTGTGCCACTCGAGAACTGCCGCGGTAAAGCTATTGCATAGCATTTTCTATCAACTTATGCAATTATAATTAGACAATGATAATTTAATATTAAACCAATAATAAAAAAAGACCACGCTATATTAATCTTAATAAAAGCAAAACCTTAACTGTCCCCTTCACACTTCACATAGTAGGCGGAGTGAGGGGTGTAAGGTGTTTTTCGTTACGGAATTTCATGACTCGGTCGCCGCACTCAAGGTCCGCGATAAAAGCTATGCAATAGCTTAAAAATAATAACGTAGCGGTTATTAGTAGTTTTTTTACGTGCTGATGATTTTGACTACGTAAATCAAAACTATTGACACTAAATACTACCATTGATCATAAGGATTTTGAGGGCGAGATATAGCTTGCCATTATGTATTCAAATCCCGCAGGGATTAATCATTTTTCTAACGAAATACGTACGTGAAGGAATAGTTTCAGGTAATAAAAATCAAACCCGCAAAAATTGCTATATGCGTAATGAGCAATTGAGTCTATAAATCAAGTCTTAAGATGGGAGACGGCATTTATGATCTGATATTTATGTGCTCCAGTATCCACTTAATATCAGGTGGGTCGTGAGCTCGTTAAACTGTACACGCAATGAATAAAAATCAGTGGATTCAATTGTACTACGTGAAAGCAATTTTTCAAGCCGAACTTTTAACTTTTATCACAAGTAATTCGCGCGTCTTTGGATTAACTATAAAGTATAGAGCATTGTGATCCTGGTCTTCAAATCTCACACACAAATATTATTTTTTCTAAATAGGTACTCAAATCTTATTCACCAATTGCTTCCAAGATGTAAGAATGGTATTTATTTATTTATAACTTCTTATACTATAAAGTATAAAGGCGGACTTAATGCCATAGGCATTCTCTAACAGTCTACCTTAGGGGAGTGCAGAGATGAAGCTTGGTAGGTGTAGTGTGAAGGTGATATTACTGAAACATAATAATATGTGTATATATAACATACATAATATTTATAGATACAAATACTCGTACTTAAATAAATACATATACATAAATATATACATATACGTATCATAAATATATACATATAAAAACATATATAAACAAATATTATCAATTAGATGACTCTGCTAACTCTCTGAGAAACAGTTCTCGAACCTTCGTCTTAAACGCTTCACGTGTAGTGGCAAATTTTTATGTTACTTTTACAGAAATATTCGAAAGCTTTATCATTTTATCGGTAGGAATTGCTGAAATTGATGAATATTATTAGTGCCTCTCTACAACTAGTTACAAAACTACATTTAAAACTACGTTTTCGGTACATCGTGCTCTATCTACCAGTACTAGAGATAATTTCAGCATTTATTGTCCCTTATCTCCATTTGATCCTAAAAGATAAACAAAAATGATTTGTATATTCAAATTGTAAAATTGTGTCTAAAAATTTAACTATCTTTATGGTGGTTATTCATTTATAAATGTTAACCAGCATTTGTCTGGAAAAATATGTCATTTTATACTTTGTTTATATGTAATTTCATGTATCGGTTGTATTTCACTACATTAGTTTTTACGCCTCTTTAATATACTTTACCGTTTTCTGGTCTACTAGAAGAAATTTCATTAATGCGTTTTCATTAATTATAAATCGATTTTGTACGCCCTTGTTTAATATATTTCTTCTATCATTGTGTTTTACGTGTACAATAAAGTACAAGATAAAATTGGAAATATGTGGTAATATCATATCATAACGTCAAATATCTCACGTCGCGTCTACACTATGAAAGTAGTTGCAATTTCACCAAAAAATCGCGCAGAACACGAAACTTATTAGCATTCATGAAATTAATGCATGCATTACGAAAATATTAAACTATACGTGAAACTGTAAAGCTAATGTCACGAAATTAATTTCATGCCACTAATTTCGTTATGTAAATTAACCCTTAGGATTTAGTAACACAGTAAAAATTCCAATTCAATAACACAATGAAATGTTTTTCACGACAATATGACATTGTAAGCGAGAAGCTGCCTAGATGTGAATTTGGATCAATTACATGAATCGATCACCACGAGAAGATTCATTTCACAAATTCGTTTATGAACTCCCATTTGTTTAAACAATTAACATTAATTTATTTTGTTTGTAAAAGTCTTCAGAGCTTGTATTTTTAAACATAATGTAATTTATGAAATTTGAGGAATTACTATGAATTCGAACCAGAATAAATTGAACAATCCTTTGTGATCCGTCCGTTCTGTTCAATTTAAAGTTTACATGGTTACTAGGGTCCATGGACATCATAATGGGAATGCCATAAATCGACCTTACGCCATGAGATATATATTTCGCTCAATTAATGAACAGCTTTCTAACTACTCAAATAGAAGCTGTGTGACTATTAACTCAATTGCGAACTCTTTATATTCAAATCACGTCAGTGAGTGGGTGAGTAAGTTAAAAATACAAGGCATCATTGTATAGTAAGAATCAGAAGCAAATAATAAATTTAGATTCGATATCAAAATTTTACACAATAATTGCATTGATAATTATAATTAATATTATGTTAATTTGCTTCAAGAGTACATCTCAACCTTGATACTTTATCTTGTGATTGTGTTTACATAAATTTTGTTATGATCAATGATTATTATTATTCTAAATTAAAATAAATTATAGTTTAAATGTGTATTATTTACGACATTTAGAAAGAATACGGATGCGAGTAATTATTTGATTTTGTTAGAATTTTCAATGTTTTGCAAATGCCGATCGCTTTTTTTTTTATTCCACAGAGTTGAACGAGTTTAGGCCCCACCTAGTGTTAAGTGGTTGCCGGGCCTTATATAAATTACAACATAAGTAACGCGACTCACCTTGAAACATGAGGTCGTAGTCTCAATTCTATTATATAACAGCTGTCCTACTTCAAACCAGAATGCAGACTAATTCGCGGCAGAAATCGGCAGTATTGCGGATCCTACCCCTGTGGACTTACAACACACCCTACTAATATGTTAAGCAAAATATTTTTTGTGGGTCTAATTTTTTCACACTATATTTTGTTCTTACATAATGATTGTCGTCCGTGATAATTGGTTAATTGCGTATTACCTTAGAAAAATTAATACCTGCATCCGGGTTTTGAACACTAGCATTCTCTTCGTTTGATACAAGTATACCAAGCGTCTTAATCTTTAAACCGCGACTTTTTATTTCTGAACTAAGTTCAATGCCTTTTTATTAATTCTGCTTATTTTTAGCATGAAGTAGTAAATGTTCATGTTTTAAAGGTAGTAGAGACATTAATCGATATTTATGGTATCGAGAATGCGTTGAAAACGTTTCACGCATCTTATTCAGGTGTATTTAGAAGAGTCCTAAAATCCACAAAAAGTCAGTATTGCACCAAAGGGCAAATAGTTGCAAAACGATTACTTTTGGCATAAACCTATCTATCTAATAAAACAATAGCCCGAGAAACGCGCCTTAAATTAAGCATTTCGTGAACTCAAACTATATAGAAGTGTGGTAGTACATAACATACATAGCTACCATCGTTGTTTAATGGCATTCTCAATGCAGTGTTTTTTCATTGGAGGATTCCTGAGATAATAATGATTTTTTTGCCTCATACTGTCCCCCCATTAGCTTGCTGCCGAAAATGACAGTTCTTTGGGAAGATTCTTCTCTTACAATACTTTTCTGATAAAATAAATGAAGGCAAGATCATTGATTTTATTAGCACACAATTAAGTTTGCACTGTTAATATGGAACTTCAGAATAAATATGTACATATTTAGAATATTGATACTGATACTGTTTCTGGACATTTGATAAAATTTGGTATTAAGGGATTTTAAAAAAAAAAAAAATGTCATAATAAAAACATTAGTTTGACTCCCTGCATAGGGGCTCAAAAATCAATATAAATTGACATTATTCTAATGCATATTATAACTAAATGATCTACTTTTCTAAGTACTTTGTGTCATTGTTGGTGTATGTATGTGTGTATGCAGATTACTGAATAAGCTGGACAATTTTTTTGAGAAAACACACTTTGGGACAATAAGCTTGATTCACGAGTGCAACAATGCAGTGGGTATTTATAAATTTTATCAACTTTAGATACATAATATATTTAAACATAATAATTTAATAACAAATTTTTTATCTGAATATTTTAAATACATGTGATATGACGGTGCATTTTTTATTTTTATTTTGTACGCAGACTAGCTTAACGGTCCACCTGATGATGGTGGCTACCGTCGCCCATGGACTTCGGCAATGCCAGGGACAAAGCCAAGCCGCTGCCTACCGTTAAGGATTCTCCACAAGACTCGTTTTAATAATGACATGTCATAGGGCTTGGGACTCACTGTGGAGGGAAGCTCATTTCAAAGCCAGATGGCATGTAGCAAAAAAGGTAAAGGAGACACACTGTGTATGAACACAACAGTGGCTCCAGGTAGTACGGATGAACTCTAGCCCAATGCCGGGCGGTACAATTGTAAAAATGAGATGATGGAATTGTCTTAAACAACTCCTCAGAGCACTCCTCATGAAACATATAGTACAAAATACAGGGAGAAGCTAAGTTCCTCTGCAGGCTATGTTTACGTTCTTAAGTCATTTTTACTTTTCATTAAATTTAGTAATTCAACCAAAATATATGGCATCAAATTATTGTATTGTATTTTTTACAGAAAAAGAAAAAGGTACTTAGCCCTTCAACTCAATTGATGCTTGTCAAATTTTACACCCACAAGATCATGCACTGTTATGGCAACTGGAGCATATATTTGGAGATGCTTTGAAAATATACAATTATTTAAAAAACTGAAAATCAGTTTTACTCAATATAAAAACTTAATTATATTATGATAATGCTTTTATAGATTACACATAAAATTCCAAGTTATTTACTATCTTATAATATTGTAATGTTTGGCCAAAAAGTGTAGAAAAAGATGTGTTAGGTAAATAATATTTTTAGAAAATAGCAGCCATTTCTGATAAACTAACATATGGTTTTTTTTATAATGTTGAATGTATTCTGAAACCCTTGCATAAATAAGTTTCAAATGTTAAATGGAAGTTCTCTGTCACAAAACAAAATTTCATACTTAATTATTATACACAAAAAGGAGGGGGATACATTACTTTTATCTTTATCCTTCCCATACAAACTGTATGTCTATAGATTTAAAGCCACACTACAAAGAAAATTTTGAATTGGATGTGTGTGTAGATACATTTGCATGTGTTCTGAGCTAACCATATCAAAGAGTAGTAGTAAGTTTGAAATCATATGCAATTCGAGACCAAGAGCTAACTCAATCCATTTGCTTTTGGTTATATTCGTTTGATTATTATTTCATGTATAAAAACACAGGAAAACTAACCAGCATTGAAAAAAAAATAATGTCCTTTTATAGGTAATAGTTTTTTGTTAACTTGCATTTTAGACGGCAGCATTCCAAAGTCCAAAACAATTATGTTCCCATATAAATCAGTTTTTCTCCTAAAACAAACAACTGTGATGAAATAACTTTAAATCATAAAATATTTTCAACCTCAATAATATATTTCTCAGCAGCACACAAAACATTCATAATTAATTATGTTCTGAGAAATATTTGTAACAGGAACAACAATTTTTTTTGAGATGAAGGGAAGGTCGTTCTTGTACAGATAGCAATTAATTGTCATTTAACTTTTTTTTATCTAATTCTTAAATTTCTATGATACATATAGATGTACGATAAACTTACTACACTTTTAAACTTAATAATCAGTTGAATAAATTCAGCATACACGTGATCAGAAACAAGCAAATCGTGTTGCTATTAACTTCGCGGTTTTTGAATGAAAAGATGAAAAACTGTGCTTATTTTGAATATATAACGCTAATATTCATAAATCAAAGTTAGCTTTATTTTATAGTACAAGTTTACATAGCACTAAACTTTACTTTTTTATTTATTTTTCCCTAAATAGCGTCTTCCTTAGCAACTCCCGGTTTCTAATAATTGTAGCTGTAGATAGATAGTAGATACTATTTGGTCTGTGGGATTGATTATGACATTTTTGACAAATAGCAAACCTTTGACGTTTTATGACAGATGCTGTGCCTTGTGCATTATTATACGAAAATGAAAATCGATTTTTATTTTGTGTGAAATCTGATATTCCTGCAAATATTTGTATTTATTAAATTTAAAGTACTTATATATACCTAATGGGTTAGTGTGGTGTATTAAATAGTATAGTTTAACCTTGTTGCGTCGTGGTAAATGAGCGTGGACTGTATTTATAGTTTTTGAGATATTTATTTGTCCATAAATGACAAAATAAAGACATATAAAATATAACAGACAGAATTATAAAATCGCTGCTTCGCTCTTGGCGGCCGGATTTGAAAGAGAAAAAGTGTCGTGGCGGACGTCGCTCGCGACACTTTTTTACAATGACGTTCAGAAATTGAACAGCCTTTTGCATAATTGAATTGAAATGTACTATGAAACATTTAATTTAAGTTAACAAATATTTTAATTTATTGTCAGAAAATACTAGAGATAAATTAACTGTGTTTTAAAACAATAAAAGTAAAAGTAAAATAAGAAGAGAAAATGTTTTATATATTTAAACATTTATTAAACTAACTTTACCTGACATAAAACTTCGAGTTGAAAAATAATTATCCGACAGAATGTTTGAAGTTTGATGTGATTCAAAATTGTTATTACTCTCTTTACCTTTTATAACTTTTAAACTATAGTTGTTATATATATTTTTATGCATGTAAAACTAAAGTTTCTTTATAAATCTACTGTGTTTGAAAAAGTTTATTGTATATTAGATAGAGATTAATTTCTAAAACCGTACTATGGTTCTTCTGCTACAAATAATAATAATAACATTTATTTACTCCACAATACAAATAACTTGTCAATTAATATGACATAAAAATTCTAATTCTAAACAAACTTGTCAAATATGATGAAAAGAGACAATCGAACTAACCCATAGACATAATTCACTGAGTTTCTCGTCAGATCTTCTCAGTGGGTCGCGATTCCAATCCAGTAGTATATTTAAAGCGATACTGCGCTTCCCGGGACCGGTGTTAGAAAGTTCTCTGGGATTGACCACGTGAGCTTCCATAGCTCGCATAACCCCGTAAGCTACCAGCGAAAATGTAGAGGAAAAAAAACGAATTGTAAGCAACGAACAAAAAAATATTAAAATCGATTTTTAGTTTGTTACAGCCCTAATTACAGCTCAGATGTCACTGTCATTTACATTTACAAATGAAGTCAAGAGACCTAGTACCAAACAGCCAATAAACACGATTTATTATCTTATAGGTAACGCATTGCAGATTAATAAATTATTTTAACGAAGGTGGTACGTATACCTTTTTTCGATTCCACCCATTATTCTGTATATTTTTATATTTAAAATAAATAATTGTGCATTTTATTAAGATATAACCATTTTTTTTAACTTCATGTATCAAATTTTGAATACTATATTACGAAGATAAATATATTTATTTTAATTTATTGGAAAATTATGTACTTTCTGCGACCCGTTCATTACAAAATTTTCAAATTTAAGTTGTTACAATAAATGGTCTTTATCTGCCCGGCCCAATTAAAGAGTAGAATAGCCGATTATAGATAGCAATGCAACCTATTCACATTATTGTACTTAATAAATGCTGCGGATGTTGCTTGATATGGTGCATCGCTCGCTCATGATGAAAAATGCTTATAATTCTCATTGATTTTTCTTTTCTATTATTAATAGTCCGTATGTTTCATACATAGGGATTTAAATAGTATCTACCATGTAGGATTTATTGTAATAAAATTCCTTGGGGTGATATGAAAATATATTTAGCCAGATCCACTTAAAACTTTTTAATGACCTAAAATTATGCGACCGCAATTTTTAATTTCACCTAACTCAATATTAATACATATGTACGTATTTAAATATTAATATTTGTATAATTTCTGTTTAGAATATTTAACACTCACATTTCCAAAATAATTATGGTTTATCAAGAACATGCTAGAGATAAAACAAAGAGTTCAGCGACACCACCTAAGATTTATATGGATTAGTATATCTCTCAAATTGAATTCTAAAATGATAAATACTCAATGCAGTTGCTTCTCGCCCTGACTCTTGGCGTGGAGTACTACTCCCATCTCTGGACTGCATCTTCAAGCTGCTTCTACGATTTAACTCCATACAGAAGAGGGGTATTCAGATTTTCTTGATAGTCTAGATCAGCATCGAAAAGGACTAGTTCTCTGTGTATTGTACCGTACATTACATGAGGACTGAATTCATTATCAAAGGCACGAACAATGCCGGCAGGAATGACCTCTGCTACGGTGCTGGGTTACGCGATGGCAAAATGTAGATGACCATCACAAACAATAACTCACAGTTGATACTGTAACTTCACGGTCTATAGCACACCTGTCTAAACTCAAAATTTAAGAGGAAGTACGGTTTTTTCCTTAAGTTTTGGGCTGCCACTTTATTGATGACGACAGGAACGTGATTAACTCTAGACCCAAAATGTTGTGTCTAGGTTAGCAGGTAAGGTTTATGATACATACCTACTACCTTAACAGCGTCTCGTGACATCTATTGATTCGGGGAGTTCTGTGTACGTCAGCTTATTTGATAAAATTCCGTAAATGTAATGTTTGGGAACTTATGTACCTACTGTAAAGTCCGTTATAGAATAGATATAAACAGTGGCGTAGTTATGGCGATCAAAATAAATATGGCAGCCTGCAATCCCACTTTATTCATGACAACTCAGATGAGAGAAATTCAAATATGCTTAGGGAATTCCAATAAATTCTTTCTGTAGGTTGCCAGTGTTGTTAATTTGACGGATGAGTGATATGTGCGTTTAATTAATAATCGAATTGCGTTTTATTCTGAATTCGAGTAAATATTTTTTTGTCGAGAACAGTTAAAAAATTTAATACTGTAACAGGAGTAAGCTCGTAGAGGCCACGCGGTGCGCTACCAGCACTCTAGCACGCTGTCAAGGAGATAAGATACACCGAGTGTATCGAGTCCGGACCCGGCAGGCTGGTTCTGATCCAGTGGGGTATTCCGGGACACCAGCGGCACCGTCTGGGCGACCTGACGTGCTGCCGTACCGAGACGGCCGACGGAGCTTTCGAGGCGAATCGAAGGCTCTGAAACGTCGGCCGGGCGTCCTTGAGCTGAGCTGCACCGTCTGGTTGTAGTGTTGACCACGGTAACCTCCTTACCTCATCCGGGTTCTGACCTCGGAGAGGATCGGATGCTTGTGCGAAGAGTGCAGGGTAGTAGTTTAGTGGGTAGGGCCCTGAAAACATCCTTGGGCCCGTGGTCTCGCAGTCGCGGACCAGTCCCACATATCGCGCGCGCCCCCAGGCGCGGGGACCTCGTAGGAGGTTCGGACCCAGCCCGAGAAAAAAGGCCCGATCTTTATATAATAAACCCCTGAATCTTCTCTATTTTGTTTTATTAGCCTAACCTACACCAAGTATTAATTATAATTTATGTTGTTACTGTTTAATATTTTTATTACCTGCCCTGCAGTGCACAAGAAAGAGCTAAAGTAGCTTAGAATTTTTAAAGTATTTGTATATTTCATATTTTTATTTGATAAAACCTAATCAGCTTACATAGCAGTGGGGCCCCATTTTTTAATTTGCCCCAGGGCCCTTGGTTACCTGGCTACGCCACTGGATATAAAATTACAATTCTACAGCTTACTGTCCGGTTTCTTATAATAGATCAAAATTATAGGTTTAAACATCGAATTTCTAAAATACCTACTTCATTGGCATAAATATTTTTTCGGATTGTCTGTGCGTTTTTGTCGGCCAATTTCTGTTTTTGAAATTGGTATTTTGATTGTTTGGTATATAAAAAGCGTTAGCGGTGACCAATCAGCGCTTATATCTAGGCAGTGCCGGCGCTGCTTCGAGATACCGTCCTGATCCAGAACCAAACCGCAACGGATACAGCGCCAACCAGTAGCAGACCACACCACCATTTTTAAAAATCGTGAATGTGTTAAATTGGTTATGGGATGCTCAGTTATGACAATGTTAGTGCAGTCATCTAATTTGAGGCCTAAAGTCTAAGTCACAATTTTATAGTCATACGGATGTCTGACTTGAAACCGGGAACCGGCTTCGCGGCAAAAATAAACGGTTTCTACCAATGCCACTTCTTCTAGCTTCTACCCATGCAACTTCTTCTAGACTTGCAACTGTGCCACCAGTGATTACTTACGCAAAATAAATTTTGTTAGTTTATTTTTTATTATATGATGTATAATTCTCTATTCCTACAACGAGGAAGTCCTTTGTGAACATATTGTGCTAAGTACGTATTTCAACACAAAAGTAGGCAAATGCCGGGGGGGTTTGTTCATGTTCGGATGTGGGGGTCTTTTTATGTAAACCACGGCATCTTTTTTTTATTGCTTAATTATTATTTATTGCTTATTCTTTTTTTTGCTTGTGTTAAGTGGTTACTGGAGCCCATATACATCTACAATGTAAATGCGCCACCCCTTGAGATATAAGTTGTAAGGTCTCAGTATGGTTACAACGGCTGTCCCACCCTTCAAACCGAAACGCATTACTGTTTTACGTCAGAAATAGCCGGAGTGGTGGTACCTACCCGTGCGGACTCACAAGAGGTCCTACCACCAGTTATTTAGAAAGTTTGGAAGAAGCCGGCCATCGCCATCATCCGGGGCGTATACTTTCAAAACACATTAGTTCTGCACAGACTAAGGTAAGGCAAGCGTGCGAATGTTTTTAACCGAGCTACCTACCATTGAATGTTAGTCCCACCGTCTCTTTTTGGCGAAACTGGAACGGCCTTCGGGCCGCCAACTATCCTGTAAAACTAAAAAAATGTGTGAACGACAGCGAATGGAATGGAATAATTTTTTAGGAGGTCACGTCATATATTACAGTCGGATCCGATAACA